GACCTGAGCCGAAGGCAGTCGCTTAACCAACTGAGCCAGCCAGGCGCCCCATTTTCTCATTTTATACCATGTATATATATTTCCTTTGAAATAAATTTTGTTAAATTTAAGAAAAACAGAAAAATAAATCATTGTCTATAAGTTTAGTTTATAATAATGGCCTTGTTTTCTTTTTTTCCTTGACTGTTTACTTTCATATTTTCAATTAATTCATTTTGCTATCCCCTATCCATTTTTACAATGTAAGTACTTTTGTAGATATTTTCTATTAATTACAGTTTAATGTGTCTGAGACATTTACCAGTCACTATGTTGTGTACAATTAACACTTTGCTTCATAAAACCAACCTAATACGAAAAGTTAACACTACTTACACATTTCCTACTCTCCAAAATTTTGATGATCTCTAGATATTAGTAGGTGTAGGATAGAAGCCCATTTTTTCTTGAGAGTTAATGCTTCAACTCTTATGAGGACCATTTGGATAAAGAGGATATAGGTACTTAAGTTGCTTTTTAAAATTGTTGTATATCCTCACTAGGATATACAGCTGGCTATCGGGATTTAGGATATTAGGATATAATGCTGGCTATTGACAACTAAGCTATATTGCTGAAAGAAAATGTTTCTCTTTACATGTGAGTCAGAGTAACCTCTTAAAAGGCTGAGATATGACACTGTTAACAAGATCATAAGGGTCAAATGCCAAGGGACCTAGAATACTTTGTCATCCCTTATCTGTTACAGGAGTATTGTTTGTTGTCATTTGCCTATATATTAAAAAGGGATGGGACCCCTAAAATATAAAAGATAGGGCACTTCAAGTGCCAATTCCAAGCTTAGATTAGAAAGATGTAATCAACTGATAATTTACCTTATTCTGTGATTTGGAGATACTATAATGAAACATATTCTCCTACTATTCATAGAGACTAATATAATAAAGATTCTGAATCACAAATGAACTTGGCTCATTTATTTAAAAACATATAATTTAGTTCTCATAATTTCATTTAGAAGTTCAGAGACAACAGAATGTATTATATTCTATTGCCTTGAATGCAATGATCTGTCTTAAACAGTTATCTGTAAAAGAGTAGTGTCTCCCAAAACTATATCACTCATATAATAAGATATATTCTTAACATTTATTGCTATATTTGAACCATGCTATTCCTCACTGGAGAATATAAAATGTGAGAGAATACATGAAACCTGATTTTATAAACATCCAAATATTTTCCTTCACTGATCTGTTTCTTTCCAGATCAGGTCAGAAAAAAAAAAATGTAGTAAAGTCAATATAATTTATGATTACAACTCAATGGCTCTAAAACTATCTAATATACCATTTTCCATTTAATGTCAAGGGCAGACTATCCTCTTAAAAATATACAGTGGTATTTTCTTTAAAATTGTAAACTTAGTAAAACTGGTATTTTGTCTAATACAGTCATTGCAAAAGAATGCTAGATCTGTAAGATTCTTTTATAGGTATATCACCAAATAAAAGGACTTTAATTTTATAATATAGGTATATTTTTCTTTTTTTATTGAATACAGAATAATTTTCAATACAGATAAGAGAAACAACCTTAAGTCCTATAAAACACCAATGGCATAATTTGCAACCGACAGTATGACTTTAAAAGAGTGAGATCCATTTTTGGAAACTTCTAAATTAAATTAAATATGTGGAGATGGGTCTCAGAATTCACAGGATCAGACTTAGAGTGGATTCACTGTTTATTTATGGGTACTAAAGGTTAAACAGAATTTTGAAAAATTTGAACAGGAAGTAAAACAAACAAAAACAACAGGCTAGTCAGATAATTTTACCAGGGCATTTTTGTATAATAAACTTGAAGTAAAATGGTGAAATAGTACCTCTAACATTATTATTTTTTGTTTACCTTTCAAATCTGCATGACTT